GACGAGGGTGAGAGAGGTTCGGTTCCGAGAACGGAGAAAACGGGCGACGAAACTTTGATAATATCCAGCAAGTTCGTCGGCTGCGGCGGAACGAAGGCGGCCCGATTCCGCTCGAGCCCGGCGGGGTTCTTAATTGAGCGCGTCGGTAAGTGAATATGAAATACGCAACTCGTCTTCCCGGCGAGCACGTGGCCCAATTAATTCATTCTCCCGTGACAGTTACTTTATAGAAACATCCGTGCGCGTATTATGTTTATGCGGGATTTTCTAAACTTTCCCGTTCCCCGACTTTCCCTTCGCGGAGTATGTAATAAGATCTATGTAGCTTAGTAATCAGCTCAATATAGATTAGCTAGAGTAGATCCATAACTTGTTTGGACGCCCGTAGTAAATCCGATATTTCAACACAACTGAATACGCCGGTATCGCAAAATGAATAGCGCAGATAACCCGGTTACTTCATATCATCATTGTTAGCATTAATTAGCAGTCGTGTTAAAATTTGGTGAACGCTATAGCGGACCGACCCAGTAGATCGTAGCTATCAGCAGTCCATTACGTAATCCGTTTGTATACCTTGCCGAGGTGTTTATCAAAGCGATGAATGTAATTAAATGTATTAAACCGGCTGCGCGCTGCCGGTGCAGTTGCTTAATCAACCGTGGCAAAATTGAATGAAAATGGCAGCGATTGGCTGTTGCCGATAGTAAATGAAGCACGGAACGCCAAAAATATTCAAAGGAGCAATGCCCATCGACCGCATAAAGGTCGGTTGATGGAGCGTCAGTGTAATCCTGTTTAAAACAATATTTTATCTTCTTTACCCGCGGGGATTTATTTTACATAATTCAGGTTGTAAACGGTTATCGATGAAACACAGCTTCGTGAACGCCTCTTTATAATCGCGTATTTAGCAGTATTCATTAACTCGATCGCCGTGTTGCGTATTGAATGGCAGTAAAATTGATTAATAATCGCGCGATGAGCTTTCCCATCGGTGATAAAAGTCTGTTATCAATAATTTCCTATGATTCGCGAGCGTGCGCGTAATGTATTTGGATTTACCAAAAATATGAAGGAACATTGCGCTAGTACTGATAAAAGTATCGATAAATTAATGTATTCCAAATATTGCCGTTTAAGTGCGTATTGATTTCCATGAATATACAGTACACGGCTTAACAATTATTACAATGCCTCTGCAACGTATAGAAATCATTTTACTTTGCAAATATTAATCCAGTAAATACAACTAATTAATTATTGCATTGTTAATGCTTTTCTCATGCAAAAATATAATACGTTTAATGTTTCAAAGAAATATCATACATGTTTTTATATTTTCAATGCACTTCCTTTTAATTAATAAATCAGCTGTAATAACAATATATATTAATATATTAATACTAAAGTTAAAACATTATTTCAAGCTAAAACAAGTATCCATATTATCATCAAATTTTATGTGATACGTTTTTGTTTTGGTTTCGAAAAATAGGATTTAATTTCAAAATATCGTATTTAAATATGATATTATATATTAATATAAAAACTTTTGAAGCAATGAATTTTCTGCAGTCGACAACTGCGCGGTAAGACAGCTAGAAGAACGAGAAATGTGTCGTAAGACCTGATACGCGTAGACACGTGTCGGTTCATTGCTGATGTCAGATCATTGGTCTTTTGAAATAGGGTATAAAGAAGAGCGATGAGGGTGGCTATGAAGAAGGATCACCTGCCGCTTATCGCGTAACGAGCTCTCTTAAATCTAGAATTTTTTATCTGTTCTCATTGAAAAGGGATGTGTAAGACGTCTCGCGGAACCGTCGGAAATTATTTTCAAAATTGTCCAATCGCATAAGAAGACATGGTAGCGCCGTATGCATCGGTGCATCGGCAACGTTCGCATCGCGCGCGTTCAATGTAGATATATTTCCCCTTTCATAAAGCTATCGGCTGGCGTAAACCGCTTAATCGCCCCTCCTTTCACGCTAGTTTTGTTGGCTTAAGCCGGGGCTTATGTTCTTCGCGCAGCATTGTTTTCCCACTTGCTGTCCCCCAGGCAAAGGAACTCACGCAAAATTTACATCTCACCCGGCGCTCTCGTTTGCGATTCTTTCCACAAATACTCTATCGAATGGTCACATTATTTTTCGTAGTTTCCTATGCAGTTGAAATGTTTGTTCCGCGAAATAAAGTTCAAAATTCATCGCGTATAGTTTATCGTTTAAAGCAAAATATCATTATCAAATATTGTTTGTCAATTTGAGAAAAAATTAAAAAAAAAAAATTTTACTTGAAAAAAAATTATTTCGTGAAGTAATAATAATAGTAAAAATTGCAAGTAAACTATAATTTATTCGATATAGATTAAATGTCACATCGATCCGATGCTATTGACAATGAATACGCATTCATTTAATGAAGCGTAAATTGAATGAACCATTCTACATATTTCTATCAATATTAATTATGGATGTGCATTAATAAATGCTGAAATGAAACATATCGATAATTCGATCGCAACCATTCAATATATTCTTATGAGGCGTATATATTACATAAAATAATAAAATTATTAATAATTTCAGAACGAGTAATAAAAAATACGAGTAATAAAAAATATATACGCATTATAATGTCATATTGAAATGGCGAAAAGTTCAAGTTACAAAATAATGATGGTAAAATCGCGGATGGACGGTTACAAAATGAAGATGGATATACGGGAAATGGCACAGTAACGTCCTAGGATGGAACAGTTCATCCAGCCCAGATGGGTCATTAATTCATCATAAAGTTGGATTAATTAATAAAAATTACTTGCAAGCAATTGCCAGTCTAGCACGGCAAACAGAAAAACGGCGCGTAAGCGACTTCACGGATTAAAATAAATTCCTTTCGCAAGGAATGAAAGATAAATACAATTTATGGTTTTTGAAATTAAAAACAGTAAATTCTTAACTTTCGAGACAGATGATGATGCGCATTCATTATCAATAATATAAAAGTAATGCAACATTTAATCTATGCCAGATACCACACAGTTTACTTGCAATTATCAACATTATTAGACAAGATCAATAAAAGTAGATTTATATATAAATTTTTTACGTATATATTACAATTTAATGCATATATATATATATATGAAACGTAACATGACGTATATGAAAGTAAAATCTGCCCGGAAGGTGCCGACACAATATATCTCAATTGTGCGCAATCCATGTAAATCATGATCAGCCTCGTTACACCACGATCGAAACATAGCCGAAGTAGACTTATCCGACACTTTCGACGCACGTTGCGTGCTCAAAGTGATCCGCGGGGGAGATGATTAATTTTCGTTCGCAAATTACTTGGAACATTTTCCCGTGATTAAGTTATAGCTACATTACTTGGGAGTGGATCATGACGAAGAGTAATGACGTATCGTCGCGTGCCAGGGCGCGCGGGATTGCGGTCGCATTTAAAATTCATATTATTCCGCGGGAAAAGCGGAAGTTAATAATAGGGGATGACACGTACTAATAGCGAATCGAATAACATTCCGAAAGTTCGTAAATAGCTTATAGGCACGACTATGCGCATATCTATTTATATTCATATCCGCTCGTATCTACAGACCTATATATTTGCGCAGGCGGCGGTTAAGCCGCTCAGATAGAGCCGAGCCAATTGCATAATCCACGGTAAGGTAGAACTTCCCAAGTGCGCAGTTATTATCATTTCTAACAGCCGTATCGACCGTTTTCGCAAGGGAGATTAGCCATTACCGCACGATCGGATCGTGCGGAGAGACGCGCAGTAGTGGCGGCTTACTTATCATCGATTGAACAATCCGTAGCTATGATCAAAGGCGCGGTTATTGCAATAGGAAATGAAACGAGCGATACCGATTCTCATTGTAACCGCGTTATATTGTAACTCTTTGTGGACGCGGTGCTCATCCACGTGCATCCGGCAAAAGAGGCTAATTAATATTTTTCCGATACATAAGACTGCGGAGAATAATAGGAATACTAACTGATGCGTGCACATTTTATTCCAATGGGCTTTGAATTAGCTTCTTTCTTTGCGAAGCACCCTGTAGCGCATCGGGCGATCGTTCTCAAATTGAAAATTTACCTTTTGTGATATTTCCCTCTCATTTCGGTTGAAAATCTCAGGCGAATGCGGTGTTTTCCTTTTTACAATAGCGCATAATGCAAATGAAGATAATAAGGAATTCTGTAGTATATATACTTATTACGCGTTTAATTATACATATATCATGGAGCTTTTGTGCGCAAGCATTTTTAACATTTTGTTCGGAGACGACGTTTCATTATCTCTAATAAAAACCTCGAAACGCTTTTACACGCGCGATCGAGTATAGGTCTAATTAACTTTTATCTGCAATGTTATATCGTAGATGTCAACTGCGACCTTGCGTTTATCCTGCATGGGCTAATGCGCAACAGCGCACATTATTTCCCGACGCGTCAGATAACGCAGACTTATATACGCGTGAGCAATGTATTACGATATTATCGCCCCTACACCGGAGAATATATCCCTATATTCTATAATAGCCGTATATTATAGAATTTGTATGCATAGCGTACGGAAGAAGCAGTGTTGCGTTTTACGTGTACGGAATAACGCATGAATTACGCTGTACTTTTCCGCGCGAAAGAAACGCGCATGCATTTTCTCGCGCGGACGAATTGCAACGGCGTGTATTTCGGCTGACGTTTCCGGCGGCCTCGCAAGAAACGCGATGACTTTCGTCCTAGCCGCGAACTCCTTCGCACGAGATCGATAAGTCTCTCTTTCTCTCTCTCTCTCTTTCTCCCCCTCGGCGCACTGGCAGCGCGACGATGTCATTCGTTCGCGTCATCCGCCGAAAATTGTGTGCAATTTTGTACACCGGGTTAGAAGGGCATAATCCGCTCGCGCGTAGACCAACGCGCGCAAACGCGCGGCATGCACAGACACAACAGAGTGAAACTTACCTAACGACTGTTATGTCTGCAACCGCACATGTATAAACAGCGACCTGGCTGCCTACGACCTCTCTCGTTTTCCTCTTCACGACGCCAATTACGGCCACGCCGAATCCGCCGCTTTCTGTTTTGTCGTATCATCCCGTTGCTATCATCCTATAAACAGAACATGTATCACTCGAGCATGGCCAATTATGAAGCGCGCGCAAAATGCGCAATGTATGCTTCCAGTGATATAATTGGGTGACGTTGTCGCGCTCTTGATTCAATTCCTTCGAATTCTCCCTTTGATTTTGTTTGTGTAAACGCGAATAATGCCAGGCGCACAGATCATAGATTACTTTCAAGTGTCAAGTTATCATCAACAAAGGCGAAAATTCTAATAATTAATATTCACATTTTTATACGTGCACCTGTAAAACATTTTTCGTGAAACATATTTAACAAACATAAAATTGTACTCAAGCCGTACATATATTAATAATGAAAGTAATTACAAAAATTGTTGGAAAACAAAATTGAATAAGCCGTATTTGTGAATCTCGCGTTAAAAAAAATCGCCACTCCACGTCTCGTTGTTGTACACGCATGTTCACGCGTATATGGGCAAAATTTGTACGGACCCGCAAACATTTATGAAGTTACAAATAGTTGAAATAAAACAGTGTGTACTATTGTGCGATGTTGCACGCTAACCGTAAAATCTCTGTACAGTAGACCCCTGAGTATAATACTGATGCATTTATTTACTTTACTTGACTGGCGAGGAGAAATATACGGCGCCGCAGGGAAAGGGCGTGTGATTATTCGAATTTTCCCTACAAATTTACACACCTCATTACGCGCATAATGATGCCTTATATCCGGCGTGGAATGAAAGGGAGACGTTACAAGCCAGCTACGTACGATATTTTCCGTGTTGTTTTTTTTTCCGGCGGGCAAACGGCATTTCCGCGAACGAGATCGGATCGCATCGACATTGTTATTGGTAAACTGGCCGGGGCGATTTTATCGGCGTTTACCAGCGTGTACTGCCCTCATGCAGGCAAACGGTACCGCAGGATCTAGGCCGATTGCCCGTATGACCCTGTCGAATCAACCGGACCTGCCGCGACTATGCAGCGTGCACGGCCATGCGCGAGCGCGCGTGTTTACACATATCATGGTCTTTCCGTTCGGACAAGCCGTGCCGCCGCTGCACGGTAAAACCGCGATCCCGCAATAGGACCGTGCCGGCCCGGCTAAAGCGATATAATGGGAATACTTCTCCCGAGTGCATTCTGCCTTTTGTACATTAAACAAGTGCGCGCACGCTCGCGCTCGTGTTCGCTGCGGGGGACATCGAGCTCGGCTGGTCGGACAGAGGCAGAGCGCTGCATCGTGTTCGGGATTTGATTTACACACAGCGCGGGCCGTGTCGCTTTTACGCGGCTCTGAGGTCGTTCCGGCAAAACTGCGCTTACTGATCCAAGGGAGTTGGAGCGTATGCGCGTAAACTTCGTCGACGCCATACAGCGAGAGTAATGCCGCTCGCGAAGCTATAATCCGCGCCTCTGACTTTCGTATTTGGCCAATAACGGCTGAAGCTTACGCTTATAACGAGACTCGTCGCGAAACTTGTGACGAGCATCTAAAAGTGACAAACTCTATCTATTTTACTATAGGTTTGTTCGCGTCGCATGCCTCAACATGCTTCCAATGCGCTCCAATCTATGTATAGTATACACGTAACGTAATTGGAGCATGTTGGGACATGCGACGCGAACAAACCTTATGTGGCAAAAGAAGAATGTGTAATCAAAAGTGCAATACCTAATGTAAAATATTTCATTTTAATATATCATTTGATTATAATTTTCGAATTGATCTTATATAAAAAAAGTAAACCTCCGATCAAAATTGTCGAATTTTTGGACAGAAATTTTTAAGTAACGTTTATTAAGCTTAAGCTTTAGCTTTTATTTTAGTCTTTTTGAACTAATGTTTCATTAATTTTTGTATTTATTAATGCAAATTATATTCAATATATTTATTAATGTAAATTATATTCAACGTATAATTCCAAATATCTTGCATAACAGAAGGCATTTAACTTTCAAAACAATAACAAAATAATATTCAAGAAATTCAAATTTATCATTAAAAAAATTATTGAGTTTGGTGTCTAAATCTTAGAATGTTATTTTTGCATTATATTATTTTTCCGCACTGTCTTCAATTTACATTTTGCATTTTTACTGTGTCAAATAGAGATTCTTACGCTACCGTAATAAATAATTTTGATTGATAAAAAAGCTTAGCTTATATAGCTTTCGTGCATTAAAGAAACATGCTCCTTTACCATCGCTACAAAAAAGCTTTGCATTTTTTACGATAAATTACTTACCGCAATTCTGCTCCGATGTCTCGTTATGTCCCTTGGGCTTTCTCCTTTTCTCAATGATTTTGCTGCTTCATAACACTCGCGCACGTTCGCGTGAATTATAGCAGAATGAATATTTATTAGCAGCCAAGTATAGCATGAAATTTATCTGTAAAACATAAATATATTTACATTAGCATAACGTCGAAAACAGAACAAAAACAGAAAATTATCCGTAATAATAAAGTAAAATAGAAATTCTATTTCTTGGATTTCAAATTCATTAAATAATGTTAAATATAATATCATGTGTGTTTTTTTTAGCGTACATGTGAGCGCAATTCGCAGCGTAATGCGCGACATATGTTTTTGTCGAGTTCATAATTGTATGAGCGTAGTTCGCTCGAGTGAGAAAAAAGTTGATCTTATATGTCATGTTTTGTTGAAAATACATTATTTCGCAGTGGGAAATCAGTGAAAGTAGTTCACACGTTATTCCAGAGGGAATTATTACAACGGAATATTGTTTGAAAGTAACCCGATTGCACGTGCAACAAATATGTCGTACTTTTGCTTCAGATATTATCAATATTATATTAATATTATATGAAATTTCAATTTATCGATAATAATAATAATCTAACAACAAATATTTTGCCTTTTGTGTGTAAGGAAAAGAAGTAACTTGCTCTATTTCTTTTGCCTTGCGGTATTTTTTCAGAGCTGGCAAGCATACGTTACCATGCTTCTGCTCAAGCATTGTGTATGGAATATGATTTATACAGTGCGCCCGTGTCGCTTTTACATGGTTCTGAGGGTCGTCCCGACAATGCTGTCCTTTCTGATTCGGAACACAGAGCATGCATAAGGTAGAGGTAACATAAATGGTTACCTTAAAATAAAAAGACTTTATACTAAATACGGTGTATATATTCATATAACCTGATATATAAAATATAAAAAAAAAAACTTATAATATTAATATTTATGTTATCAACATTTAATGTTATTTCTCGATATATTTAATTTCTGTAAGATTTGCTCTCTTTTCTTTATGAATAATATTGCATATTTATTTATTTATGTTTATAAATGAAAAAATAATATGTTATATCATGTTGGAGATATTAAACAAAAGAAATAACAATGCTGGAGATGAAAGAATAATAGAATGAAAAATGTTATGTTAATATAGAATCATAGAATACGTTTATACAATGAGATGTGCATCGTATTAGACGCATCTATTTTAGTATAAATTATTATCGTCAATATTGCTGTACCGACTGTAAATGAGGAGATAAAATGAAATACAGTATGCTGGTCGTGGAACGATGTTTGATATCTGATGATGTCGCGGAATTATAATGATAATCCAATTCTATTTCTGATAATTATCCTGCAGCACGCATGAAAACTTAATAACATCTATGCATCGTGATTCTCATTGAATTATATGGCATATAACTGTAATTAATTACACCAATTAATAATAAAATGAATCCGGTCCGCAGTTGTTACAAAATTAATGTCCTCGGTAAAATCGTTAATTTACTTGTAATAATCGACTTCGCTTCGCTACATAATACATACTTGCAATGCTTATCAGTTATCATTGTATCGCAGACAGAATTGGGAAATGCAAAGTTTAAGAGATGCAGTCGAATATATGATATTTCAATCTCGACCTTCCGCACTAATTAAACCTACGGACAAACAGCAGAAGTGTCAAATGGTTTAGTGAAGATAGGAAGCACGTCATAAAGATCGACCCTCCTCGTGTTCAAAGGTAATGCAGCAAAAGCTGTCATCGTTAGATACGCCTGCAAGGAGCACTGCACGAGAGAGGGTCACCCAATGTTTGTAATCAGTCTCCTAGGTTGTTAGGCACCGTACATACGGTTACAGCGGGTGGAAGCATGAAAGTACCCTTTTCAGTAGGTTACTAACCTCCCTTTTGAGATAGGTGTGGATAACCAAAGCAAATTGGTGTCTTTAATGAACTTTCACGAAGTTATCGTGCCATATAGGAAAATGGTTTACATTCTATCAAACTTGGAAAATAATTTATCTCACAAAGTCATGTCCTTTCAAATTAATTTATGTTTTGAGGAACGCAATTAAAATGAAGGCAAATTAAATTCCTTCATGAAATGTTCTCTCAAAGCACGATACGATTGAGAAAGGTTGAAATTGTCTGAAAATTAATTATTCACGTAATAATTCATTATTTTCACCCCGCGCTAATCTCAACAATGCAATCTGAGTTATGGAGTGTTCTATGCTTTTTCAAATATTTCATTGAATATCGCCATTATCATTCTTTTTCATCGAAATGAGAAACTCGTCTTCGACTTATCATCAATGCAGCGTCCACTTTCCACTTTCAAAATATGTACGTATATATTTGAAGTTAAATGAGATTCTTTCAGATAGCCGCTTCCTCGTCGGATAGTAGTAAATCGCGGGGATGGGATGGCTGCCGGGATAAAAGAGGTGCGCACACCGGTAGAGGAGAATTAATCAGCCGGGGAAACTTTGCTCGCGGAATGTTGAGAAACTACAAATTAAATGACTGCGCCTTTTTAAGCAACGTTAAGTGGCTCGCGAGAGATAGCAGTCGATTTCTTTTCGCCGTCACCTAACTGTTTTTACACGCTTTATAGCGCCATTTAAAGAACGTTCCATGTTGTGAATTCATCATAGAGCCTTTCCGTCGTCGTGAAAATGCATCTATTAACTCCGATCATCCGTCACCAGGTCTCCATTAGCTAACACAATTTCAGCTTGCGCTTTCTGAATTACAAGCCTTTTATTTAGTTATATGCAGTATTAATTTAATATAAAAAATGAACATGTGTCCAGTACATTATAAAATAATAATTAAATCTCGACATAATAGATACGCGGATAGAAACAATACACTAATAGAAACGACACATTGGTATGTTCATTCACTCAACAATACTTTTTTAAAGTAGATGTCATTTTATAAATTAATATTTAAAAAAAACTTGTCCAAAATATAAATGACATGCACGTCAACTCGAAAATTGTTTCCGTTATTTTATAGTTCACGATTCTTCTGTGCAAAAAACTGGATTACAGTTTAGAAATAATGAATAAATTTTTGCCATCCCACTCACAATGCATTAACTCCATGTGCCTTAATTGCTACAATTTGCAGAAGCCGTTATGAGTCTATTAACTACGCCGTTGTACTGTGCTACGTTGGCAACTGAAGTGGCACTTGCTCGGAGGGTAACACCAGCTCGTTTTATCGTGTTTCTATCTCTTAAACTGACTTAACACTTACTTAGCTTACTAATTGCTTCCATAAAATTTAATTTGTGACTGTGGTATTTTGATTGTGCGATCGTTATTTACAGTCGGACAGAAAAACAAGATATTGTTGATACACTGAGTATCATGTTTCACTTGTATATTTTTTTTAAAGTCAATTGTGTTATTTATATTGCGATGAAAAATACACTCACCCGAAAAAAAGACGGTACACTGAAAT